GAACTAGAACTGAACTAGAACTGAACTAGAACTGAACTAGAACTGAACTAGAACTGAACTAGAACTGAACTAGAACTGAACTAGAACTGAACTAGAACTGAACTAGAACTGAACTAGAACTGAACTAGAACTGAACTAGAACTGAACTAGAACTGAACTAGAACTGAACTAGAACTGAACTAGAACTGAACTAGAACTGAACTAGAACTGAACTAGAACTGAACTGAATTGAACTAGAACTGAACTGAACTAGAACTGAACTAGAACTGAACTAGAACTGAACTAGAACTGAACTAGAACTGAACTAGAACTGAACTAGAACTGAACTAGAACTGAACTAGAACTGAACTAGAACTGAACTAGAACTGAACTAGAACTGAACTAGAACTGAACTAGAACTGAACTAGAACTGAACTAGAACTGAACTAGAACTAACTGAACTAGAACTGAACTAGAACTGAACTAGAACTGAACTAGAACTGACTAGAACTGAACTAGAACTGAACTAGAACTGAACTAGAACTGAACTAGAACTGAACTAGAACTGAACTAGAACTGAACTAGAACTGAACTAGAACTGAACTAGAACTGAACTAGAACTGAACTAGAACTGAAACTAGAACTGAACTAGAACTGAACTAGAATTGAACTAGAACTGAACTAGAACTGAACTAGAACTGAACTAGAACTGAACTAGAACTGAACTAGAACTGAACTAGAACTGAACTAGAACTGAACTAGAACTGAACTAGAACTGAACTAGAACTGATCTAGAACTGAACTAGAACTGAACTAGAACTGAACTTGAACTATAACTGAACTAGAACTTCACGAATTGGATCAGAACTATCCTAAGAAAAATTTCCAGGATTGACGCTCTTTGGGGTTATTGGATGTCTTTGTGGAGTATCTAAAGCCAATAAAATCACCGGGTTTACATTCATTTGTCTAACACTTCTACATTTGTATGACACTTAGTTTAGAATTATAATTAATTGATTTCATTTTATTACATGTGGTTATATATTATGTTTTTCCTTTATTTATTTAACATTAATTTTTATTTATTGCTTAACAGTTAGATCAAACACCAAAGACTATATTAAGGAGTTATAATTATAGGAAAAAAATGAATGATTAATTGACAGACTATAATAAATGGATCAAAGGGCAATAAATATTTATAAATAGTAATAAATGTTCGTAAGTGTCTTAAAGAAAGAAATTTGTAGAGGTTTTAATATGGAGTAAAATATTTGTCACGTTTGAAGGTTATAGAGGCGATTTCCGTTTTAATAAAAAAATAGCCTCAAATATAAAGAAAATATTTATTTTTAGTTCATTTCGAAATATTGCAATATTTTTTATTTCAAGTAAATATTTTCTTAAAATTTAACAAAACTCATTCTATTAATACTTATCAGCTATCTTTTCGGTTTTTGCAGCATGTCAGCTATTTCTGCTGAAAGGATATATAAGTATAAAATGGAACAATATTGCCACGAAAAATATACATTTGCAGCAACAGCATCTTCTTTATCACCAGCATTCCTAAAACTACTAAAAGGAAAAGAAAAAAACATAAAATGTTTTCTTTTTTTTTACTTTATTCCGTTCAATTGACAGTCTGTTTGGGTTTCGTTGTTGTCGATTTTTCATTTGAAAGGAAAATAGTATAAAAAAGGACATATAAAGTGCCTAAACGGAAGAGTATCTATCCATCACTTAAAAGTGTTGAGAAAAAGAAGTGAACAAAAAAAGCGGATATATTTCAAATATTGTTGTTGTTGGTAGTAAAATGGGAAATTGTTGCCATTTTAGCATTTGTTACAAAGAACAATATGTTACAGTTGTATTTATTATGTGAATACTTTATCTGTGGTGGATATTGATATAATAAGAATGACTTTAATTTATATTAAGAGTTAGAATGTGGTAACATTATAATATTCTATAATCCTTAGTTTTGGCAGGATCAACCAAAATTAAATTTAAATAAAATTTAACATTTAACATTTTTTATGAACTGAAAACATTTTCCCTTGTTGATTTTTTATCACTTATTTAAAAATGTTACAAATTTGAATTGTAACATTCCTTTATGAAACGAGACTTACAGTAAAACGTGCTGAAATTTTTATCTCCTAAGACCTTTTTATTTCAACTGCTTTCAACAGGTTAAAATAAGTACATTGTGTTTCATATTGCCTCAATTAATAATAAATTTAATTTGATTTACAAAAACTGAAATTTACACATGCAAGAAAACCGACATGGTGTAATTAATAAGATAAAAACGTGTCTTAATTGCAAAGGTTAAAAAAAGGTTAGAACAAAGTTAATTTATAAGTTCTGGTAAGATTATTATCGCCTGACACATACTAAGTGCAAGCATCTTTTTACACTGCTATATATTGTCGAATTTACAACATGGAAGTACTGCAGAAGCTTTATTAAAGTAACGTTTGATATGAAAACAAGTACCTAAGATATCAATATTCGCCACTGTCGAATCTTATATATCCTTCACAATAGTGTATTTAAATAAGTTTAATTTTATAAAATTTCAATTTATTTTACAATTTTTAACTCACTCTACCGTTACTTTAGCAACAGCAAAACATAAAACAACAACAACTAACACCAAACGAACCAAAACAAAACACACGAACAACCAACAAAATACGCAAAGCACAAAAACCAACAAAATACGCAGAGCAATAAAAGAAACATACAACCACACATACGCTTTTTCAATAAGCGTGTGTTTTTGTAGGTTTTTTTTTTTTTTTTCAAAGCAAGCACTAACACTCTTTTTTTTTTTTTTTTTGATGAAATTTTCAGGGGTTGTCTTGGATTTTTGCTTATAATTCCGTTTTTTATGGACAGATTTAAATACGAAACTTCTTGAAAGCATGTCCTATAGAATTATTGAAGTTTTGAATACCGCAGAAATTAATTTCAACAGTCACACATATGTATATACTTTATAAGGTCGGAACATAATATCGATGATGATGAGCAACATAGCGCAGACTTTTTTTCTTTGTGATCGACTGCCGACGTTAGTTAGTTAGTTAGTTAGTTAGTAGTTAGTTAGTTAGTTAGTTAGTTAGTTAGTTAGTTAGTTAGTTAGTTAGTTAGTTAGTTAGTTAGTTAGTAGTTAGTTAGTTAGTTAGTTAGTTAGTTAGTTAGTTAGTTAGTTAGTTAGTTAGTTAGTTAGTTAGTTAGTTAGTTAGTTAGTTAGTTAGTTAGTTAGTTAGTTAGTTAGTTAGGTAGTTAGTTAGTTAGTTAGTTAGTTTAGTTAGTTAGTTAGTTAGTTAGTTAGTTAGTTAGTTAGTTAGTTAGTTAGTTAGTTAGTTAGTTAGTTAGTTAGTAGTTAGTTAGTCAGTTAGTTAGTAGTTAGTTAGTTAGTTAGTTAGTTAGTTAGTTAGTTAGTTAGTTAGTTAGTTAGTTAGTTAGTTAGTTAGTAGTTAGTTAGTTAGTTAGTAGTTAGTTAGTTAGTTAGTTAGTTAGTTAGTTAGATTAGTTAGTTAGGTTAGGTAGTTAGTTAGTTAGTTAGTTAGTTAGTAGTTAGTTAGTTAGTTAGTTAGTTAGTTAGTTAGTTAGTTAGTTAGTTAGTTAGTTAGTTAGTTAGTTAGTTAGTAGAGTAGTTAGTTAGTTAGTTAGTTAGTTAGTTAGTTAGTTAGTTAGTAGTTAGTAGTTAGTTAGTTAGTTAGTTAGTTAGTTAGTAGTAGTTAGTTAGTTAGTTAGTTAGTTAGTTAGTAGTTAGTTAGTTAGTTAGGTAGTTAGTTAGTTAGTTAGTAGTTAGTTAGTTAGTTAGTTAGTTAGTTAGTTAGTTAGTTAGTTAGTTAGTTAGTAGTTAGTTAGTTAGTTAGTTAGTTAGTTAGTTAGTTAGTTAGTTAGTTAGTTAGTTAGTTAGTTAGTTAGTTAGTTATTTTTAGTTAGTTAGTTAGTAGTTAGTTAGTTAGTTAGTTAGTTAGTTAGTTAGTAGTAGTTAGTTAGTTAGTTAGTTAGTTAGTTAGTTAGTTAGTTAGTTAGTTAGTTAGTTAGTTAGTAGTTAGTAGTAGGTTAGTTAGTTAGTTAGTTAGTTAGTTAGTTAGTTAGTTAGTTGTTAGTTAGTAGTTAGTTAGTTAGTTAGTGTAGTTAGTTAGTTAGTTAGTAGTTAGTTAGTTAGTTAGTTAGTTAGTTAGTTAGTTAGTCGTTAGTTAGTTAGTTAGTTGTAGTTAGTTAGTAGTTAGTTAGTTACGTTAGTTTAGTTAGTAGTTAGTTAGTTAGTTAGTTAGTAGTTAGTTAGTTAGTTAGTTAGTTAGTTAGTTAGTTAGTTAGTTCGTTAGTTGTTATTAGTAGTTAGTTAGTTAGTGTAGTTAGTTACGTTAGTTAGTAGTAGTTAGTTAGTTAGTAGTTAGTTAGTTTAGTAGTTAGTTAGTTAGTTAGTTAGTAGTTAGTTAGTTGAGTTAGTTAGTTAGTTAGTTAGTTAGTTAGTTAGTTAGTTAGTTAGTTAGTTAGTTAGTTAGTTAGTTAGTTAGTTATGTAGTTAGGTAGTAGTTAGTTAGTTAGTTAGTAGTTAGTTAGTTAGTTAGTTAGTTAGTTAGTTAGTTAGTTAGTTAGTTAGTTAGTTAGTAGTTAGTTAGTTAGTTAGTAGTTAGTTAGTTAGTTAGTTAGTTAGTTAGTTAGTTAGTTAGTTAGTTAGTTAGTTAGTTAGTTATTATCTGGATTTGCATCTATTATAACGTTGGTTGCAACAATCATTGCAAATTGAGATTTTTGTTTCCCGTAACTAAAATTGTGTTAAAACTTTCTTGTTTTCTTTTTTTTGTAAGCACAACTAAGAGTTGTAGTAATTTCATTTAAATTTGATGCAATTTTTCTTTATAATATCAGATTTAAAATAATTCTACCATAAAGAGTTTCACTGTTTTACTCCTTCAATTGTTTTAAAACGACCCTATAAAATCTAATTTATGTTTATGTTTGTTTCTTTTTTCTTCTCTTTTCAGGTAAAAGTTTCACTTTAACCATCACTGTGGATACATTTCCCCGACAGGTGGCTACCTATTCGAAGGCTATATAAAAGTAACAGTCGATGGACCTCGTGAACCGCGCTCAAAAACAAGTAAGTCGAAGTTGTTTTTAACGCGTCGCACATTTAGAACAATGTTGTTGCCGCCACCATCAACAATTGCTACTGCTGATGCTGCAGCAACAGCAATAAATCGAAAATCACAAAAAATGAAAAAAATAAAAGAACACGATCAAGATCAAGATGATGAGTTTAGTTTAAGTTTGCCAACGACCATAATAAATGCCACAACTTCGTCCATTTCGTCGTCCCTTTCGAATTATCGCTTAGTTCTTATAACGAAACTGGTGCTAGTAATGATGATGGTCGTCGAGTTGATGATAGCGGTGGTGGTGGGGTCAGTGTCGTTGGCAATAGTGGTCACTTTAAAACGTCTGCCTTGTCATCATCATCATCATCGGTTATTGAATGTGAGAATAGTTTGAAAGCCACATGTATGAAGACAAATATGGTGTAATTGATGCGGTTGTTGGGGAGGAGTTAAAAGTTGATTATTTGTTAAATGGTGAGAATCGTTTATTAAATTAGTAAGAATTGAAACATATAATTTGATGTATACGAATTGACTTCTAATAGTTTCGAAAGAAACAAATAAGCAGTAACAACAGCCATTGATAGTGTCCTTTCTTAGAAAGGACAACAAAATTAGCATAAAGATTGATTGTACTGCCTTGTTTTTTACCTTATATGAACCCCTCCATGTTCGAAAGACCAATTGTGTGATATTAACATTTAAAAGAGAGCCTTTGTTTTGAACTTTGTTTTAAATCAAAGCAAATAAAATGATAACTTATCTCTTTAAAAAAGGCGCTTAATTAAGTATTACTTTTCCTATGAGTTAATTTATATTCATTAAAAATTATCTTACAAACAAGTTGTTCATATGTTGTGGTTACAAAAACTACTTCACAGATAAACTTTTTTTCAAAAACATTTAAAATTTCTAAAGCATGAGATAAAAAACCGACTTAGAAAAAGTAAACCTCCTCCCTTTTGTTCACTATAAATACTTTCAGAAGTTAATCCGCTTAGAAAAAGAAAAAAATAGAAAACAGACTGTAAGGGAGTTGGTTGTGTGGACATGTTGCAACATGTGTTTAACACAATGCATAAAGCATACTTATCTATTTAAAAAACAACACAAAGACAAACAATAGGATTTAAGGGATTAATCCCTTGTTTAAAATATGTTTATGATCTAAATATTATGAAGTTTTAGCTAACACTTACATGCAGAGTTAATTAGAATGGTATTTGAACTATTTAAGGATTATTTGGGCAAATAGAAACAAGTGTTGTGCAACAATTGGATTGCCTTTATAAATGATTACAACTTCAAGGAAACTGATCGGAGCTACAAATAGAATTTGGTTTGGCAACTAGTTTTCAAAGTGCTTAAATTGGCGCTTAATTTGGAATAAAAGAAGATCAACGATCGACTCTTAAATTGAATCAAATTGAAAACAATGATCAATCGAATCTACAAATCAAAGCATTCAAAGCAGTGACCACTTTAATTGGACTAAAATCAGATCAAGGATCGACTTTTAAATTGAACAAAATATGTAAGATCAACAATCGATTCTTTAATTAAACCAAATAGAGATCAATAAGAAAGAGCAACCATTGATTAGACTAAAACAAGATCAACGATCGATTCTTAAGTTGAATCCATTTGGATTAAATAAGATTAATGATTCTTAAATTGAACCAAATAATAGTCAACGATCGATCGAATCTACAAATCGACAGCTTATATTAAACAATCGCCTAATTTGAACTAAAACAAGAACAACGATCGTATCGTATAATTACACTAAAACGGTACTTAAATTGGACTGAAATAAGAATAACGATCGACTCATAAATAGAATCAAATCGAAGCTTAAATTGGACTAACAGAGGAACAACTATCGATCTTTACTTAAACCATAAAAGATCGCTTCTTAACCATTCGACGCTAAAATACGACTACAATAAGATAACCGATCGACTCTTAATTGAACCAAATAAAGGTCAACGATCGATCGAATCTACAGTGTAGGAGTTAAGCTTCCAAAGCAGTTATCGCTTAAATATAACTAAAGCAAGATCAACGATCGACTCTATAAATTAAACTAAATCGAAACTTAAATAAGACTAAAACAAGAACAACGGTCGTCTCTTTTAACTAAGTAAATCGATACCTAAATTAGACTAAAATAAGATCAACTATCGTCTTTTAAATTAAACCATAAAAGATCAACGATCGAATATTAAATTGAACCAAAAGAGCAAACAAAATCGACGCTTTTATTGGATTAAAAAAGATCAGCGAACGATTCTTAAATGGAACCATTCGGCACTAAATTGAACTAAAATAAGATTAACGATCGACTTTATATTAAACCAAATAAAAATTGCAGAGTAGTTGAACTTTCAGAGCAGTGGTCCTTAAATTGAACGAAAATAAGATCGACTATTGAACCTTAAATTGAAGCAAATAAAGATCAACGATCGATGGAATCTACAAATCGACAGTGTAGGAGTTATGCTTCCAAAGCAGGGGTCGCTTAAATTGGATTAAAATAAGATCAACGATCGACTTTTAAATTAAATCAAATGGATGCATAAATTGGATTAAAATAAGATCAACTATCGACTCTTAAGTTAAACCATTAAATATCAACGATCGAATATTAAATGTAACCAAGTGGAGCAACTAAATCAAAGCTATATTGACCAAAAACAGAGCAATCATCTACTATTAAATTAAACCAAATCGATGCTTAAATTGGACTAAAAAAGATCAATGAATTCTTAAATCGGACCCATTCGGTACTAAAATTGAACTAAAATAAGATTGACGATCGACTTTTATATTGAACCAAATAAAAATCAACGATCGAATTTACAATTCGCCAGTGTAGTAGTTGGACTTTCCAAGCAGTAGTCGCTTAAATTCAACGACTCTTAAATTGAACCAAATAAAGATCAACGATCGATCGAATCTGCAAATCTACAGTGTAGGAGTTAAGCTTCCAAGGCAGTGGTGGCTTAATTGAACTAATACAACACCAAAGGTCGACTTTTTAATTGAACCAAATCGACGAACAAATATTTTTCAATAAACAGCAAAAAACTTTCGGAACTTGGTACAAATGGGTGCCGATCACTTTTTTAATGTACCAAATTAAACGTTATTTCTCCTTAGTGATGAGATTTTTCTTAACAAAATTTATATTTTTTCCCGATATTGAACCCTTTGATAAAATGGTAACGGATATTCTGTATTGTTTCTGTATTGGTAATCTCATCTGCTTATTGGTTGGTTGCTTCAATGGTTGGGTTAGTGTGTCAGCTGAAAGGATATTAACGGAAATGAAAGAGAAACTCATCACAAAACTACAACTATTCATGTTAGTACCCCAAAATTGGTAACAAAAGATTGGTTTGAAAAAAGGTTTTTTTGTGTTTCGTAATAAGAGCAGCAAGTGTTTGAAAAGTTGAGTTAAAACTACGTTTTTGTTATTGCTATTTTAGAATATTTTTATAGCAGTACTTGTTTTTTTCTGAATGCCCCAATATAAATACAATATATTTTTATTTTTAAACAAAAATTAAAAAAAAAAAACTGTTTGCGGTTTTTTTGAAAAATAAGCAAACACAAACAACATTAACAATATTGGTATGAATGTTTTATGTTATTTTTTATTTTATATTAAAGCTGTTGTTTTTTATTTAAAAAAATGTACTTCGTACCTAGTTTTTTCTGTTGTTTTTGTAATAAATTATGCAGCAGTTTAAGTCTTCATTTTTATATAGAAAAAACTGACTCTCTATGTAAAGAAAATGTAAATGTTTTTTAAAATTCCTATAAATAATTACGTTTTTTTCTTTACTCTATTTATTAGGTCCTCCTAATGGCACCCATTTTCGTGGTTTCGGCTTATCACAACGTCCCTATCCCGATACCAGCTTTACCAGTCATTTTCGTGAATTGGGCTCATTACATCGTGTTACCCGCTCATCAGCCGCCGCTACGGCTGCTTCAATTGTTAATTCTGCAGCAACACCAACATCGGCTTCGAGTACGAACAGTAGTAGTTTACCGCAATTAACGGGAGGCATTGGTGGTGGCAGCGTCGGTAATCATTCACCAACGAGTAGTACAATCAATTCAGATTGTCAGGGTTATAAACCGAATGCATCCCATTTACAAGGTAAGTTCGTTGATGATGATAATAATTTCTTTTTTGATTTTTATTTGAAAGCATTAAAATTAATTGATGATCATTAGAGGGGGGAATAAATGTTGATAATGTGTTTGAGTGAAAATGGAAAAAAAAAGTTTATTGAAGACTTAATTTAGGTTTAATGCATATTTCTTTTAACTTTTTTGAGATTAATTCACTTATTTGATATCAAATTGTTGGAATTTTATTAAGGTATCAGAAACGTTTGAATTAAATATTTCAAACCTCCATTTTCTAAAAAATTTTCTTTTATTAATGAAAATTAAATTTTCTATTACTAATAAAAAATTCCAAAAATCATATCGTAACTAATTTATTTCATTTGTCTAATATTATGTTTCTTTCTACATAAATCTAAATAAAATTTAAGAAAATTAACAAATAAATTAATTTAAACAAATAAAAAGATAAAAACTTTATTAACAATAAAATAAACAAAAGTTAAACTAAATCATCATTATCCATTGCTACTTTTGTTAGTTATAGTGGCGCCTAAAATACTGATTCATTTACAACTTAAAACAAAAACAAAATTTAAGCGGATTTTTTGAAACAAAAAATATCAGATTAAAATAAACGTAAATATGTTAATTAATTGATCACACTCACAAAAAAATTAATTTGCAGAAAAGAAAAACAATATAATGTTATCAAGGTAAACTTACTCATACCCTACCTACTCAATATGAATTGAATTTTTAATAAAAAAAAAAACAGATTTCGAAGAATTAACTTAAAGGGAATTAAAAAATATTTAATCTTGATCTAGATCTATATTTAGAGTCAAGACTATAACCATATGTATCTATTGACCAGACTATTGACTGATCTATAGGCAAGATTATAGAATGATCTATAGTCAAGACTATACAAAAATATGTAGCCATGACTATAGACTGATTTTTATTAAAGATTAAAGACTGATCTGTAGTCAATGATCTATAGAAAAGACTATATACTGATCTATTGCAAATACTATAAAGTGATCTATAGTATAGACTATAGATTGATATATAGTCAAGACTCTGGAATGATCTACCCTTAAGATCTATACTGTAGACTGATCTATAGTCAACACTATAGAATGATCTATAGTCAAGACTATATAATGATCTATATTAGATATTACAGACTCATCTATAGTGCTATAGTCAAGACTATAGACTGATCTACAGTCAAGGCTATAAAATGATCTATAGTGAAGATTAAGTTAAGACTATATGATCTATAGAATGATCTATAGTCAATACTATAGAATTATGTATAATCAAGACTATAGGATTATGTATAGTCAAGACTATAGAATTATGTATAGTCAAGACTATGGAATGATCTATACTCAGACAATAGAATGATCTTTAGTCAAGACCATAGAATGATCTATATTCGAGACTATATAATGATCTATATTAGAGATTACAGACTGATCTATAGTGTTAAAGTGAAGAGTATAGGTTCATTTATAGTCCAGACTGTAAACTGATCTGTAGTCAAGGCTATAGAGTGATCTATAGTCAAGATTATATAATAATCTATAGTTAAGACTATATAATGATCTATAGTCAAGACTATAGAATGATCTATAGTCAAGACTATAGAATGATCTATGGTCAAGACTATAGAATGATCTATGGTCAAGACTATAGAATGATCTATAGTCAAGACTATATAATGATCTATATTAGATTATTACAGACTGATGTATAGTGCTAAAGTGAAGACTATATATTGATTTATAGTCAAGATGTAGACTGATCTGTAGTCAAGCCTATAGAGTGCTTTATAGTCAAGATTATAGAATGATCTATAGTTAAGATTATAGAATGATCTATAGTCAAAATTATAGAATGAACTATAGTCAAGACTATAGAATGATCTATAGTCAAGACTATAGAATGATCTATAGTCAAGACTATAGAATGATTATAGTCAAGACTATAGAATGATCTGTAGAATGATGTATGGTCAAGACTATAAAATGATCTAGTCAAGACTATAGAATGATCTATAGTCAAGACTATAGATTGATCTATAGTCAAGACTTTAGAATGATCTATAGTCAAGACTATAGAATGATCTGTAGAATGATGTATGGTCAAGACTATAGAATGAACTATAGTCAAGACTATAAAATGATCTAGTCAAGACTATAGAATGATCCATAGTCAAGACTATAGAATGATCTATAGTCCAGACTATACCAAGACACTTGAGTAAACTGCCTTTTATAGAGTATTTCAACATACATATAAGAAATGTTGATATTATTTCAAAACTTACAAAAATCATCCACATTAAAACATCTTTTTAAAACAAGACCGGAAATTCCTTTAACAGTTAATAAAATTAAACAAAATTTTCAATATAATACACAAATTTCCAAGAAGTTTAAAAGCTAACAATTCTAGTTGAGAAAAAAACATACATATGTTACAAATTATTATAAATGGCCGACAAAAACACCATAAGTTTAATTGGGTCAATATTTAAAGCCCAAAAAAAAGGATTTAAATCTGTTTTTACCAACAAAATGTAGACAAAAATAAGATTTAAAACTTTAAAAAATTATTTTAATATAAAAACAGTAGGAAAAGCCGCAAATCAATCGAAATGTGGTTGCAAAACTGGGCAGCTGTTGGAAAAAAGTCAGTTGAATAGTGTTGTTTTTTTTTTTACTCAAAAAACTTTACTAAATGAGTAAAAGTGTTTTAGTAAGTACATGTTTAAAAAGAAAGATTAAAAAAAAAATTGTAAATCCCTTGTTTTAAAACAAATGTTTTTAAAACCTCAAATCATTAACATGTCAATGTTAAATAATTTGCCTGAAGTTTGTTAAAAATACAACCAATCAATGTTCCAAATATGGCAAACAAATTTGCCAAACAGTAGAAAAAACATGCAAAATTTTTAAAATTTTCTTAAAGTTCTGTTCTTTAAAAATTTTGACAAGACAGTTTAGAGTTCTTGCCAACACTTTAGTAAAAGTTCTTTTTTTTTTAAAGAAAGCCACTGTTTTTCTTTTGGCCAAAACGGAAATGTATTTCAAAATGAATTGAGTTCGTTTTTTGGTAGCTGTTCAAATGCCAAAATGTTTAAGTACTAGAAAGGAAGAGAAGAAAAATAAACGAAAACCAATGAACTTTAACACATGATCGATCCTCTAAAAAAGGGTGAAGCGCAAGGTAGTGAAAAGTTAATATCAAAAATCTGAATCCTGAATCAAACATTGTTTAAATCAAATCATTCTCAGTTTGAGAGAAAATCTTCAAACTGATCTAAATAACTTTGAGTACAATTTACACATATTTTGGGAATAGAACTTTTTAATTGGAATAACTTTGAATAAAGTTTGTGAGAATCTCAAATCTCCCAATTTAGGATTCAACAAAAGCAGATATGCGCAAAGACCTCCTTGATAAGTTATACTGTTAGATATAGTACTAAATAAGACATCGACAGGGAATTCTCTTACAGTTTCCAGAGAACTCTGGTTTGATTTGAATGTAAGGGAGCAAGGGAGCTCAAAAGAAAGCTTTCAGTTGGAATAACTTTGAATAGTGTTTGTGAATATGTATGGAAAATACATGTTTTTGATTTGTGATTTTTAAAGAAAGGGATTTGATAATGATTCTCAAGAACTAAGATTGTCTCTTTTCAAACTATTAAAATGATTTTAAAGAAGTTTGAATTAACTTTGGTCCTACATATACGAATTAGAACTGAACTAGAACTGAACTAGAACTGAACTAGAACTGAACTAGAACTGAACTAGAACTGAACTAGAACTGAACTAGAACTGAACTAGAACTGAACTAGAACTGAACTAGAACTGAACTAGAACTGAACTAGAACTGAACTAGAACTGAACTAGAACTGAACTAGAACTGAACTAGAACTGAACTAGAACTGAACTAGAACTGAACTAGAACTGAACTAGAACTGAACTAGAACTGAACTAGAACTGAACTAGAACTGAACTAGAACTAGAACTAGAACTGAACTAGAACTGAACTAGAACTGAACTAGAACTGAACTAGAACTGAACTAGAACTGAACTAGAACTGAACTAGAACTGAACTAGAACTGAACTAGAACTGAACTAGAACTGAACTAGAACTGAACTAGAACTGAACTAGAACTGAACTAGAACTGAACTAGAACTGAACTAGAACTGAACTAAAACTGAACTAAAACTGAACTAGAACTGAAGTAGAACTGAACTAGAACTGAACTAAAACTGAACTAGAACTGAAGTAGAACTGAAGTAGAACTGAACTAGAACTGAACTAAAACTGAACTAGAACTGAAGTAGAACTGAACTAGAACTGAACTAGAACTGAATTCGTCTTTAAAACTCTTTATAAAACCTCCTATTAACACCACCATTCAATAAACTCAAACAAAACAAATTCATTCAGAAGAAATTTTCGTTTCTGTTCTTAAGCAATGAAATTTTTGAATGGAAACTTAAACATTAAATCTGGGTAAAACTAACTGCATTATATCTACACTTATCTTCATTATCAAGACATGAGGCAGAAGATGAATATCATTATTATTATTTCTTTTTGTTTATCATTATTTTTGCAAAACCGCAGTCCAACTTCCGTTCCTGGATATTGAGTTTTTTTGTTTTGTTCTACACAAATTTACAACACCATTTTAAATTACAAATACCAAAACATTTCTTTAGTATCTATACATACAATATGGTGTAATTTATGACCAAGTAAGTGGACTGTTTGGCCAGGAGTTTGGTTACAAACAAAAAGAATAATCACCATTAAATTTTGTGGGGATGCAGAAGTGTCCATAATGTGTTAGTGGGAACTGTTTATGGTTTCTTTTTTTAATTTTTTGTCTTCAATTTTTCTTTTATATAAAAAAAATGGTTGCGCGAAGATGATAATTTTCATTATGATGATGAGAAGATTTTGAAATTTTTATTATCTTTTCATAAGGTGTTAAATTGTTAATATCCGGTATTGTTTACATTTAAATAAAGTATAAAAAGTCACTGATCACATATATGAAAAGATGTTATATAATGAACGTCTGCTGCAACCACTTAAAGACTTGATTTTCAATTCTGAAAGCTCTGCAACTGGTAATGATTAGTGCAAAACATTGACCACTTTCTCTCTTAATTTATTTACTCCTTTCTCTGCACTCACACACCAAAAATCAAAATTGAAAAACTCTTATACACACACAGCAGGACACATTGCAATAATCCCTCTCTATTAAGGGAATCCATGAAAGGATATCAAACTAATTACAATTATAATTAATTGAAGGTTCCCCTTCAACGAGCAAAAACAATAGACATTTGTTAGCAATACAACAGTAAAAAAACAACAACAAATGACAACATAATCATTAAAACGTTGGAAAAAATGTTGTAATGGGAAAATGGACAACAGAGAGTCCTTTGCAATTATCAAACGTCAATTGAAGGTTAAATTAATGACAAAAAGGAAACGAAACAGGACACACGCATGCAAAAAAACAAACAAACTCCTTGCTTTAAACGGCTAAAGAAAAAAACAATCTAAGCGGTATATTGGCTTTAAAAAAAATTTAATTTGTTTGGAATAAAACAAAAAGGCTCAACATGTTGACAGTGAATAAATGTACTTGCAACATGAAAATTATATGTTGCCTCTTGCATATTATTTTTCGTTTATTATTGTTTTTGTAATCCTTAAAAGTTACAAGTCCGTAGCAGTCGGCAATGGACAAAATTGTTTATGGGAAAACCTGAAGACTGACGGATGGAGAGACGCAGGGACAGCAATGAAAAGTTGGTGGTACTACAGTAGCTAGAACAACTGTATTATGTACAACATAATAATTTATTTAGACGTTTATGCTGCAACGTACAATGAAATATTTATGTGGATTTTGTAATGACTTTGAAAATATACACTTGGAAAAAATCAGTTCTAGTTCAGTTCCAGTTCAGTTCTAGTTCAGTTCTAGTTCAGTTCTAGTTCAGTTCTAGTTCAGTTCTAGTTCAGTTCTAGTTCAGTTCCTGTTCTATTTTAAAGTTCTAATTCAGTTCTAGTTCAGTTCTAGTGCAGTTCAAGTTCAGTTCTAGGTCAGTTCTAGTTCAGTTCTAGTTCAGTTCTAGTTCAGTTCTAGTTCAGTTCTAGTTCAGTTCTAGTTCAGTTCTAGTTCAGTTCTAGTTCAGTTCTAGTTCAGTTCTAGTTCAGTTCTAGTTCAGTTCTAGTGCAGTTCTAGTTCAGTTCTAGGTCAGTTCTAGTTCAGTTCTAGTTCAGTTCTAGTTCAGTTCTAGTTCAGTTCTAGTTCAGTTCTAGTTCAGTTCTAGTTCAGTTCTAGTTCAGTTCTAGTTCAGTTCTAGTTCAGTTCTAGTTCAGTTCTAGTTCAGTTCTAGTTCAGTTCTAGTTCAGTTCTAGTTCAGTTCTAGTTCAGTTCTAGTTCAGTTCTAGTTCAGTTCTAGTTCAGTTCTAGTTCAGTTCTAGTTCAGCTCTAGTTTTCTAGTTCAGTTCTAGTTCAGTTCTAGTTCAGTTCTAGTCCAGTTCTAGTTCAGTTCTAGTTCAGTTCTAGTTTAGTTCTAGTTCAGTTCTAGTTCAGTTCTAGTTCAGTTCAGTTCTAGTTCAGTTTTAGTTCAGTTCTAGTTCAGTTTTAGTTCAGTTCTAGTTCAGTTCCAGTTTTATTCTAAATAGTTGAAACGAATGAAACATTTATCTTTGAGTGTATCCCTTCAAAATTACTGTTGATGTCGATGACGTGAATAATGATGATTATGAGGGGCGTACAAATACAACAAATATTAAAATGTGCGTGGCCGCCGCTAAAGGTCTAATTCACTGCAGTTTGTTTAACAACATTTTATACAACAAGGGGTTAAAACGCTGTAGTTCATATTAGCAGGAAAATTTTCATACTAATTGAAACATTAAAATGTGATAAATGCTAGTTTTAGTTTCAACAGTGATTATGGTATAAAATTGCTTCAAATCTACAAAGGTAGAGGAGTCGACGTCAGTCATCCTTCATGGTCTACAAACGGCAAATGTTGTCTTCATTATTGTGAAGAAACAAGGGGATGAAAATGAATAAAAAAAAAAACATTTTTCAATTATGGGTTAAATTAACGGTATGTACGTCATAGGTCTTTTGAAGCCAGCGGAAAGATATAAGATTTTTTTCTTCTGACAGTTTATTAAAATTTGTGTTGTTTATAATTAAATTAATTAGTTTCTTAAATTAGTTTAATTAATAATGTTGAAGAATTTAAGATTTATAATTAATCAAAGTATGTTTAGTAAGCTCACCTGTTAAGAAAGTGTTTTCTTAACTGCTCTTTTCTTTCAGGGAATTTTTTAATAATTTTTTTTCCCTCTGTTGTTATGTAACCCTTTTGCTTTAAATTAATAATTTTTCTAGTTTTATATCTGTTGCTGTTGTTGCTAATATGTGTGTCTTTGGATTGAGTGACATATTTTATATATGACACAGCAGGTTGCCATTTTGTTCATATGTTTTGCTTGTTATCCTGTCTGTCATCAATTTCATTAAGGGAACGACCTTAGAATCGCAGCTTATGTCAAATTATTTTTCAATTAATATTATTTTGTTGTAAAAATATGGCTTATAATGTTTATGACATGTTTATTATTTTAAAAATGCTTTTCTCACTCCCGTTCTATTAAGGCTCCTCTTGTTCATTTATTAAATATTGTATTAAATTAAAAATTTTGTTAAATATTTAATTAATTTTTTAAACTTTTTCATATTTTTAGACAACAACAATCTTATGGGTGCCGCCGAATGGACAGGTTATTCCAGCAGCATGACTAGTGCCTCTGCCTATTCCAGTTTTCATCATACCCATCACTTACCACCACCTCCACCGCCATCAGCTGCTTCAGCAGCTGCCACAAATTCCGCTTACAGCGGCTATGAAAGTCTCACCACCGATCCCGCCAACTTACACTTGCCAACCGTGCTCACCGATATGCAACCCTATTGCCCGACCAGTGATTATCATCCCAGTGCCATAGTGCCGCATGTTCAGCCTCCGATTTGTAGTCCCAACTATAGTACGGTACCGAAAAATGAATACGATTCCTATAATGCAGCAGCAGCGGGTTATTCTTCCTATAACAACTGGTCTAATGGCTATAATAATTACCAATATGGTAGTTGTGCGGGTCAGCCACAATACTCAGCTCATACAGCGCACACAATGGTGCTGTATCCTCAACTTATATCCACCTATAATCAAAATGAAATTCACTTACACCTACACGGCACCGATAAAATCGAACAATATTTAGGAGGAGAAAATGCTCTCACTATCAGTTCCCTTTCCGGCAATCGTTCGAGCATAGAGATCGGTATAGGCACCTCGGACCACGAAGAACAAATGCAAAATACTAATAGTGCGGCAGGCGTAGGTGGAGGTGGATTAATGAATAATGATCCTCATACTCATGTGGTAGTAACAGATCCAGCGAATCTAGATCCGGAACAAAGACAAACACAAACGCATTTAACGGATCCCGCAACTGAAGTTAATGTGGTGGGCGGTGGTGGTGGCGTTAGTGTTGCATCAGCGGGTGTGACAAATGATCAACATACTCATGCCTCGAGAGAGGGAGAAGAAGTGTGGCGACCCTATGTGCCCACTTCATGGCCTCAGTGACAAAATTGTAAGACTTATGTACATATAGAGTTAAATTAAGAGTCTATTTAGTTTGAATACGTATTTAGTTAAGTAATTACTACTATTTGCTTTAAAAAAATAAATGAAATGGAATGAATGTAAAAAGAAAATCAAAAAAAAAAACACAAAATTTGAAAAATTATTTAATCAGAAGATGTACTAGGAAAAGGCTTGTAATATATAAAGGTTATTTTTTAACGTATGCCTAAAAGTATGCTCCTCTTTATTGATACATATTAATTGAATTCTTAGAATATTCGCGATAAAAAAAATCGTTTTACAGGACTTCATAGATTTGTTCGAGAAGTAGTGGAAAATATAGTGTTGTTTTTCCAGAATCCTGTGTCGACATAATTAAGTATCCATAGGAACATTCAAGAATCTATTCAATATGTCCTATTTTATCTTCCAAGTCTCTTAAATACGATGTGTTTTTTCAATCACAGAGTGAGCTAAAGAACACGCGGCTTGCAAGTTTGGTGCGCGGCTGATGCCGGTCCATGTACAAAAAATTCATTACAAAATGGTTCAATGGTTCTTTAAGAGTTTTAAAAAATGTCCTTATTTTATCACCAGGGACAGCAAAGGGTTAATTTTCATTAAAATTTCTGCAAGGTTTTATCGCATTCGATTGAAAAATATTAAAATTTTCTTAAAAATTGATCACAATAAAGTTAAATTTCAGATTGTTATTTTAAGAGTTTTAAAAGGGCAACAGTTTCATATAACCAAGGTCTGCAAAGGGTTAATTTTCACTAGAATTTAAACTTCATTGATCATGGCATATTTTTCAAGGTTTCATCAAGATCCATTGAAAAATACTAAATATTTAGCTAAATGTCAAATATATAAAAACTTGACCTTGTTTAATATATAAAAACTTGACCTTTGACCCCAAAGGTCAATAGGTTAAATTCCCCATATTTTGACAAAACATTCGGTAAAATTTTTTTTTGAAAAGGAGAGTAAAATTTTGAAATATTCTTAAAATTGGACTGCAAGAATAGAAAAGTAGGAAGAATTACGCTTTTCCTAAAAAACAAGTGTAATTTCAAAACTGGTACGACTTAAGAATAAAAGCTATTTGAACTAATTATTTTTGGCTTTAATTCTGTTAGACTTTTGCAATAAGATTCTAAAGAAAATTACTTTGTAAATTAACAATTTATTTAACAAAAAATTTTCCTAATTGCATAAAAACCCAAAACATGTTTCCTTAAATTAACTTTTTCCATTCAATACCGATTAAATAAATTTTTCAAAATAAAATTACGTTTAAATCATAAATAATTTAGTTAGTTATAAATTCTATATAATTTTATAAATGTGTATTTAAATGTAAAAAACAACAAATAAATCTAAAAATACAAATTATTTAAAACAAATATGATTAATAATTCTTTATAAAAAAGAAATAAAATAAAAAGAAAATATAACATTATAAAAACAACAAACTACAATTACAACAAAGTAATTATAAAAAAAAAATTGGATCAGATTAACAATTTACTTGTATAAATTGTTATAAATACATTAAAGAAATGCATGTTTGTATATTTCAAATAAAATAAAACTTTCCTGCGGTTTTATTATTATTGTTTCTTCTTCTTCTTGTACTTAAAACTCAATAATTTATTTTCAAATGAAATGAAAGAAAACAAATTCTTGTTTAAAATTATTTATTTACGTTTCTA